AACTCAAAAAATCAAACAATGATGATAAGAGAAAAGAACCAGGAGCTTATAGCTCTGATACCATGTTAGAAATTAAAAAGAAGAAGAAGTACTTAAAGAAAGTTTTATTTCTTTGTTGAATAATATTATATGTACAATGACCTATATATAGCTGTTTAGAAAAAAAATATTCTAAGGTATAAAATATTTACAATAAGTGAGAATATAATTTAAATTATTTTGTCTACATCTTAACATCTCCCCTCAAACTTAAGGTGGTTGTGATGAAACCAACTTGAGTTTGGAAAGAAGAGTACGAAAACATCCAGGAAAATGAGCCTTAATGAAAAGGTCTGCTGGTTGATCAACAGAGCCAATAAAAACCAAATGAACAGATGGCGAACAAAGTGATAGTCAACCTCAATGTGTTTAGTGCGTTCATGGAAGACATTATTATGAGCAATTTGCATGGCACTTTGATTGTCATAATAAAGATTAGTAGCAGGTGGTTGAGAAACACCCATATCTTCTAGTAGCCAATGTAAATTAAGTAACTCTGATGTGGTGTCTCCAAGTGCTCGATATTCAGCCTCTGTGTACTAGAACATGATTGAACTGTCTACTTCTTGCTACACCATAAGATTAAGGAGTCACCAAGAAAAAGGCAAGATTCAGTGGTGGATTTATGATCATTAGAGTCTCCAACCCAATCAACGTCAGAATAAGCATGAAGTTCAAGAGATGAATGAGAAGAAAAGTGAAGGCCATGAAACATGGTACCTTTAATATATCGAATAATGCAAAGTACTGCTACATAGTGAGTGGAGCGAGGCATTGCCATAAATTGGCTAACAACATGAACTACAAAAGCTATGTCTGGTCGTGTTGTAGTGAGATAAATTAGACTTTCAACCAACTGTCTGTAGCGAGTAAGATCAGCTAATGGAGAACTATCCATGGATGTGAGTCGAACATTTGGCTCAAGAGGAGTAGATGCAGTCTTATTGTCAGTGAGTCTAGCTTTAGATATAAGATTAGAAGCATATTTTGTTTGGGAGAGAAAATAACCATCATCAAAAGAGGTGACCTCAAGTCTCAAGAAATAACTCAAAACACCAAGATCTTTCATCTCAAACTTATTATTGAGAAATTGCTTAAGATCATGAATACCTGAAATATCATCCCCAGTAATGATCATATCATCAACATAAAGAAGTAGTAGAACCATATCATGATTAGTCTTGCATATGAATAGTGCAGTATCATGAGGACTAGAGGTAAAACCAAATTCATTGATGGTGGTACTAAACTTGGCAAACTAGGCTCGAGGTGCTTGTTTATAGGCCTATACAAGAGAATATTCTATGATACAAAATTGATTAACCTAATTATATTAATCAATTATAATATGAACCCAATCAATATAATTATAATATGAATATTCTATAACATCCCCCTCAAACTCAAGTGGTGATGAGGAGATCACCTTGAGTTTGGAAAGAAGAGTGCGGAAATGTCTAGGAAAATGAGTTTTTGGTGAAAAGATATGCATATTGAATATGTAGATCAGTGCAATTGACGTTGTTGAAGGAGAAAGAAGTAATATCATATTCGAGCAACAACAATGTCGAAAGTTCAATTATGAGAAATCAAGAGCAATAATCAGCTGCAAGAAATTAAGGGCAAAATCAACTACAATTGGATGTGAGAAGGCAGGAGCAACATTGGCTATGTGAGTAACACGTATTGTCAACGCAACAAAGGAATAGGATCAAGAAAACCCAATTACAAATAAGTTCAAGAAAGAAAGCAAAGATGATGATGATTGGCATCACTTACAAGCAAAGCAACAACTCATAAAAGAGATGAATAGTAATAGTAAAAAAACCCTTAAGGCATAAAAAAAATCAAGAGAAGAAAAATATAAAAATATATGAAGACATAAAGATATATGAAGAAAGAAACTCTTTCGTTCTTAATTTCACTGAATATACAAGGTGCTTATTTATACTGGTAGCAACACAAGCTTGGAAGATTTGTTGATATGGAATGTGCAAAGACTCTAATTTAGTAGTACAAAGTAGAATTTGGACGAATCAGTCATTTGGAAATGATGGTGTATCCATTTTATGATGAGGTATATGCAGATAATTGAGCTCAAATAGATGCCCCACCTTACGACTAATTCCAAGAAGTTATCTTATCTATGGGTTCTACACACAACAACCATGAGTGGAGAAAGTTATTTTAAGACCAAGATCACATAACTGACTAATGGATAAAAGATTATAACTAAGTTTTGAAACCAAGAAAGCGTTTGGCAAAGTCAATGAATTTGTAGAAATATTACCGATTTGACTAACATTCATAGAGGAGCTATCAACAGAATAAATGTCAGGAAAAGAATTATTTGGTGACATTGAAGAGAGATAAGCAGTAGTTGAAGACATGTGATTACAACAACCAGAATCAAAATACCAAGGTTTAGTAACTGGAGCAGCAAATAAGGTAGTTGGGGCATTAAGAAGATTTAATATCACCCGTTTTATAAATTCAGGGTTGACAATATGTTGGTCTATCACCTTTGTAGCAACCATTGCAGCAACAGGATGAGTCACAGTTCTTTCAAAACTCGCCATAGAATCAATAGAACTCACAATACTGAAAAATCTCCAAAAATAGGAAGAAATAGATGCCAAGATCAAAACTGCAGGAGAAAAGAACCCAACGACAAAGTTTCAGATCCGGAATAGATATGAGAATCCAACTCAGTAACCAAGCAGTGATAAATAAAAAACAAGGAGCTTGTTGCTCTGATACCATGTTAGAACTGAAAAGAAGGAGAAGTATTTGAAGAAAGGTTTATTGCTTTCTTGAATAATACTGTATATAAAATAACTTATATATAGGTGTTTATAAAAAGAATATTCTAAGGTATAAAATATTTACAATAAGTTGGAATATGATCTAAATTATTGTGTTCACATCTTAACAGCAATGCAAAATCAATGGCCATAATCTCAACTTGTAAGATTGAATCTTGAAACTTGCACACTTTTTGTGCTGTTACTAGGCCCTTACTTTCATTGTTTCTAAGTACAACACCAAGCTTAGCCAAATCTTGACTTGGAGGAGTTGCTGCATCAGTGTTAATTTTAATGAAATCTCCACTAGATGGTTGCCACTCAATTATCTGCATTGCTCTGTCAAGATTCCTAATCCGATTACCAACCTCTCTAGTACTTCGAAATTTTGTAATATAATTTGAGATCCATCTAACAATGTGCTCTAGTCGAGTGCACAGATGTTTGAAAGAACAACTATATCGATTGTTCCATATAGTCCATAAAGTGCTGCCACTCGTTCTTTGTGATCCTTATTTAGTGCTAAAAAGGAGTTCAAAAAATCACCAATATAGGATTCACTCATCATGTTTCTAAGATCAAAGAAAGGACATGACCCACTCCAAACCATTTCACTCCACTTGCATCTGAAGAAAAGATGGTGGTAGGATTCTTCTTCTGCTTCACAAGCTACAAGTTCTATTAATTTCTATCCCATGATTAAGCAAAGCCAATTTAGAGGGCGGAATTTCCCATACAAACTATTAAAGGAAATATTTTATTTTTGGAGGTACATCCAAAAACCAGATAGAATGCCAAACTGATTTCATCAGATCATTGTATTCCTTTCTTTTTTGAGATGTTGAATTGTGCAAACGAAATTAAAAGTGTTCCTTTTTTTTTTTGGATTTTTTAGCCATAGAACGTTGTTGATTTCTGCCTTTGTGGCATTGAAATAATTAGAAGTTGAACTTAAAACAATAATACTATTTCTTCAATATTAAAATAACTATTAGTTTTTTTTTCCTTTTTTTTT